TCGCGGCTCCCGAATACTAGGCGCGATCTGCCGGCTGCAGATGTCTGCGCTTTTTCGCGTTTCCCCGGATAGCCTCCCGTTAGGCTCCCGGCAGCCGGGACCCCCCCCGAGCGGGCTGTTCCTTGCCGAGCTGGCAGCTTCCTTGAGAGGCCAAGCGGAAATTCTCCTGGCGTTTAGACTGCTAAAACTAGAGCCCGATATTTATCTATGGATTTTATTTTCCTGTCGGGAACAGCTCAGTTAGCTGGTAGAGCTTAAGCTTTAAAACCTGCAAAAATCAATTAACAACCTCATTGCCTGCACTGGGGGTGATGGCACAACTTCCTCAAATTAAAATCTCGTTAATGTATGGCTACGTTTTGAAGTGATCTGTTTTTGCTATAGACTTATGCCCTCTATTTTTTTTCAACTAACATATGTTCGGTCCACATTTTTGCTTTACTTATTTTGGTAGACGCAAATGTAAACTCTTAGCTACCGTTCTGCGATACGTTTTTTCCCTCGTTTCTGGGTTTAAGTGTATTCAGCGCCATGCAATACGAATAACTACATTTCTGAAAACATTGAGTTAAATAGTAATTTTTATCGTAATTTTGGGAGATTAAAATAAATCTTAAAATTCGACTTTGATCTCTGAAAGCATGCTAAAGCTTTGTTTTCCACATTTCAAAGAGAGGCCATTTGATCGACTTAGAGTATTGCATGGTGCTTTAAAAAAATGTGTTGGCTGTACTCGGGTGTATTTTTCGGGCTTTCATAACGTGCGTTCTGGTCCTCTGCTTCTCTAGATCACACAACTGAAAATAGACCACAACCCTTTCGCAAAAGGCTTCCGAGACAATTATGACACGTAAGTAAACCGGATTTTTATTACCCTTCTGCCGGCTGCGCACGTATGTCAAAGCGGGAGGCTTTAAGGCGCGGATTGGGCTCATTTAAAACTGAAATGTGTCATGTCAGGCTTTTTTAGAGCCCTTTGAGGGGGAAGGAGGCACTGGCAAGCTCCCCGGACGGGGGCGGAGGTGCAGGGGCCGCTCAGACCCCCGTTGGGCCCCGCTCCCGGACGGCTCCTGCTCTCCG